CATCTGCAGGATTGGCAGAATTGAATGGAGGAGTCCAGACTCCTTTCACTCATTCTCGCCGTTTGTGGTGGGCTAGCCCAGTCCTGTGAAGTAGCAAGTGAGATTTTTCTCTTCTTGGAAGTAGAATTTACACTGGTTTTGCTACTGTGGCTTGGTAGGATTTCCTTTAGGTGGGTAACTATTGCTTTGCAGTCTGCCCCAATTCTCCTCTTGTTTCTTTGGACTTTGAGCCTTTTGCTAAGATCTTCCCTCAAATCTGGGATGTTTTCTGCTGGTGAGGTCCCTCAGCAGAGAGCCTTCAGCTCTCACTGTGCTGGGAGCAGATGCTACCTCAGGGGCTCTGGGTTTAATTGTTTACACGCACTCAGATCTGCTGACCCTGCAGCACACAAGTGTGAAGAGGAATTGTTACACTTGTGCTTGGCAATGTGGATTTTTAGTAAGCACCAAAATGAGCTGCTTCTCTGAGAACAGGTGTTGCTGGGACACAGACGAGCACCAAAATGAGAACAGGTGCTTCTCTGAGCTTCTCTGAGAACAGGTGTTGCTGGGACACAGACTCTTAGAAATCCCAGTACTTTCTAGGATGGCTATTTCCCCCTTAATTTTCATTTTGTTGAAAACTGCCCTGTTTTGAGAAACAACTTGATTAGCCACCCTCTTCCAGTATTGTGTAACCCCTTCATCTCTATTGACTTTCATCTGCTGAGATGTTTGAAAAGTATCTCGCTGTAGTGATTGGCATGGTGGTAGGACAGGAGGTTTTTAGGTGAATTTCCAAGTGGTTTTTCACCTTTTCACCTTGCTGGATGGGAGGGCTGAGGGTCTATAAGGAAGCAAATGCATTTTCATCTGCCCTATTTATACTTTCAGAAGTGTTTCTCTCAATAAAGCAGTGGGCTGTACATCTATTAATAACATCCTTACATGGAAACAAGTGCTCAGTTACATCTCAGAGAGAACAGATCAGCTTTTTTGAGGTTTGCTGCCTCCTGTGAACTCTGACACAACCTGATTTAATTTGTAACAGCAAAGACTTTCAGTGGTTAATTACATTAACTCTAGGGACCAGCCACTTTGAGGTCATTAATATATTCAGTAGTATTAAATACTACCGAATATATTAAATAATTGAATAAATACTTAAATAATACTACTGAATAAATACTTAAATACCCAGAAGGAGCTCAAGTACAAATCCCATGAACGCCCCCAATGGAAAAAAAACAGTATCAAAACCATAAGGACTTGTCTTCACCGTCTGGAAAATATTCCTTTTGCTGTACTTCTACACATGTCTTAAGCTATTTTTTATATTAAAAATGCTCACTTTAGTAAAGTCCCCATGTGACAAAAAAATCCCCAAACCAAAACAAAAACCAAAGAATTAATCCTAGACATCAGGGTAACAAATCTGAAGGATTAATACATATTTCTGAATTTCAAGCTTTATAATTCAACATTTGTAATTTATTTCATACTTTTTTGCCTGGCCAGACTGAACATTTTTATTCAACAACTGCTCTCAGAGTAGGATTTGCTGAGCACTTTCAATAATAGTGACACTATTTTATTTCTGCCCTGGTGTTCTGGGACCACGGCTTGGTGTTGGAGGCCACATCTTCCCGGAATTTTATACAAGAAGCAACAGAACAGAACATTTATCTGACAGAGCCACAACTTCACTGCCAACTAAAAAAGAAGAGCCAACAGATTCTAACTTGGATTAAAAGTCACCTGTGAACAGAGGCAAAATATTCCTGCAGGCACAGGGCATCTCTCTGAAGAGAAATGGTTGAAAATGCAAATGGCTGCAAGAGGGTTCAGTGTGATTGCTTCGTGTTTCACAGGCACTGTGGTTTCGTGTGCCCCAGGTCAGCTCTCAGGAGATGAACAGCCAAGATTTCTGATTTCTGGAAGACCTGTGGCAGCTTTTCACATGCCACCTTCAAACTCCTCCCGTTTGCTTTGCAGGCAGAGTCACTCTTGTGAAGGATTCCTTCGGGGGCCTGGATAACAGATGTGAGCACGGCCCCCTCGTGCAGCCTGACAGCACAGGGCAAATACTAGAGAAGAAGAAAAGCAACTTTTAAAAAAATTATTCTTGTTTTTTTCTCCAAGCTCAGAGCTGTCACATTTAGCTCTTCCAGTTGTGAAGGCATCCTTGACAGGACATCACATCTTAATAATGCCAAGCATCATCTTCACCATAACCCTTAAAAGTAGGCAGAGACTCATAATCAGTTCAGACTCCATTGGAAGGCCATCAGCTGGAGGAGGAACAATTGACCTTTCAGGAAGAGCTGTACAATTAGAGGAAAGCTAGATAAAAGTACAGACAAGATAGAGTGAAATTGGAAAGCAGCATATTTGTATCAGATAAGAACAAGAGGGTGCTGGGATATAGGTTCTTCCCATTTTCAGGCGGAGAAAATGCATCTGAAATCTACTTTCCAGGAGGTGGGTTCACCACAACTGTGTGCTCAGAAGCGTGTGATAAAATTAATGACTGTCCTTCAATTTGATGATAAATCCACGTGCCAGTGGAGAAGCCAGTCACACACACACAGCACCATCAAACTCCCTCTTCTTGCTGGCTTAACTTGACAGCACAGTCTGTTATGTCCCTGCTTCACATCCAAGGCAATCCAGAAGTTTGCTGAAAATTGTTATTAAATTTTGTGCCTCCTATCTGCCTCTCATGTCTTGCTCAGGAGAGCAGGCAAGTGAGGATAGATTTAAGGAGGATGAGCATGAGGAGATCAGAGTGAAAGCATGGAAAGCTGAAATTTGGAGTTTCCAGTTGAGAAACTCTCAGGTTTGGCACAATGTAAAGGCCAAAATGTTCTGACCTGAGCAGGGGCCATTCATTTCTCTCAGAGGCTGTTGTGGTCCTGGGCTGGAGAGAGGAAAGGCAGGAGAAGCAAACAGGCAGCAGTCTTCCTGATAGGCAAGAGTGATTCCACCAGCAGTACTTAATGAGCAGAAAAATCATTGATTAGCTTAGTGTAGTGGGCAGACTAGAGAAGAGAAGCTCTTGAAATGAGACTTAGAGCAAACTGTTTGTGAGATAACATTAAAGTCTGTCTGGTCTTTGATCCTAAACTTGAAGAAAGTAAAGGAAAGGGATGGTCTGAACCAGTGGTCTGATGCCTTGAAAGATTTCAAGTTGAAGTGGAGGGGCGGAGAGGCACAGATGGAGAGAGGTACACAAATACTGTTCATGACATTTTATCTCAAAATGTCAAGTGCTAAAGCTCTGAAAATATGCTTACATGGTAGAGGCAGCACTGCATAATTGAAGCCCCATGAGAGTTAAGGAAATCTGTACTTTCTGGCCTTTATTTGTTTAAAAATAAAAGCTTTGTCAACAGTGTATGTACTGCTGAGTACATATGGCACTAAATCTCACTGCAAAGTGCTGAGGTTTCAGGGATTGAGCAGAGATGTTCCCTATGGCACCTTTGCCTTTGATCTCAGAGATTGACCTTTGGCGATCTTTGCCCCTACTTTACATCTGTCCTGCCCTTTCCTGAATTCCTGGGTACAAGCACTGACACCATTTTGCTCTGGAACAAGGGCATATGTGTGTTGAGTTGGTATATGTAAAAAAATGGTGAAAATGCTCATCTTTATTTTTATCATTGAGGAAAAGTGCATCACTGAGTGTTGAAATGTTAAACCAAGAATTCTGGAAGGGTCCTAGCTCAGCAATCTCTCCCAGAGACAAGCGAGTCTTTTGCTTCTTCAGCTTTTTGGTACCCCAAAAAATGTGCCCACACTTCTACAGGCGTGCCCTTGAGAGGGTCTGGCCTGGAAACTGGTTATGGATATTCCCCACCCACTCATGTTTTCCCAAGACTTAACTGACCCCTGCACCACTCTTGGCCAGAAGCTCCCCTGCAGAAATGTCGCTGGGCTGTCGGCAGGAATCCTGTGCAGCAGCAACAAACATGTGGGACACGCTTCCCTGGTATTGGAGGGAAGCCTATTTGTGTCAGCTGCATTAGAAAGATTGTTCCAGAACAGTTCATCCATGTGTAAAGTTGCCCCTGTAATTCTGCCAGGGCTGAGGAGCTCAGGGAGATGTGCTGGCAACAGCGCCGGCAGCTCTTTCCTCCACCCAATTTTTCCAAGGTGCTGGAGGTCAGAGAGGAGCAGATCTGTAATTTGCTTGTCTGAACCAGTCTTCTGCCTTGTTTAGTGTAGCTGGAGAGTTTTCATGCTGTGAACCGAACTTCCAGGGATAAAATACTGCAGAATTTAAATGGGAGAGCCTATCTCCCCACCCTGCAGTTCGCCTTATGCAGATAAAAATGGGGAGAGAGCTTGTTGCAGGCTCTCCCCTTTGGAAGCTATTTAGCATTATAAATCACAGGTACGCTTTGCAGTCGGCCTTCCTGGCTGTTTACCTTTACATAATTACACACCATGGGCTATTTTTTCCCTCTCTTTTGAGGAAAGTACTGTGGGAGTTACTTTGATTTCTTTGAATTTGACCTTTGTTAGCTTTGGAGGAAAAAAATATGTTTTCTCTTACTCAAAGTAAATTAGATGTATTCATTATAGCAACTCAGAGGATTAAGCACAACTACTGGGTTTTTTTTTCCTCGGGGTAATGATTTAATTGCTTTGATTTTGTTTTGTTCATATCCTGAGGAAAAAAAATTATGATAGTAGAAGAAAATGCCTTTAACTATTCTTTTCCATACAGTGTGTGCTTCTGTATGCCTGGCAGAACTTGCCTTATGCTAACCTTGTCCTTTTAGTGCTCTAAGTAGAGATTTCACTTCTTAAAATTTTAGGGCTTTGTGTGTGTTTGTAGGTGTGTGCGTATATATGCCAACACACAAAAATAAAATACATTATGCAAACATACCTAAATATATGTTTTCATTAAAATACTTTTGTGTGTGTGTTTATATATGTACACACATATATAAAAATAAAATAAATACTGGCGTTCCCTTTAACTTTGAAAGTGTTTTGTTTTCTTTCAGCTCCAGCAAACTGGATTGAATTACAACTGAATTGAATGCACTTCTACAGCACCTTCCCTCAGGGATCTAAACCAATTTTCTCACCATTGCTAAATGCTGAACTTCCCCTGTACCCTCACAGAGTAAGTAGGATGCTGCTATCTGAGCTCTAGGGTAGGAAAATTAGGAAAAGTGTTGAATGCAACATACTGGAAAAGAAAGTGATAAGATATTTAGCTCTTGGTTTTGAATATTGTTGTGTGTTCACACAGTTGTACTTTTCTGCGGAACTGAAGCCTTGCAACATGTAACCTTACTGTGGGAAAAGGGCAATACTCACCCCTGTAGCAGTGTGTTTGGTCAGTATTGGGCACGGCTTTGGCATGGAGTAGGAAGGAACAGTAAAAGATGTTTTTGAGAAATATGGAGCGTATTTCTGACTTGACACCTGATCTGTTTTATCTTGACCAGTCTCAGTATGGGCTCCAGCTTCTGAAAAAAGGCATTTAGAAATCAATTTAGGGAGGAGAGGGGAAGAAAAGAGCTGCAGTTCTCAGGTGCTTGACCATTGCAACACCTGGCCAAGGCCAAGGGAGCTGCTCTGCTCCTACATCAGATCTGATGCAAAGGGTTCAATGTATGGTGACAGGGACAGAAGATTTGCCTCCCAGACTTTTTTTTTTGGTTCAGTTTCTTGTGTGGCCATTCTGTGTGTTTAACAAACAAAGGGAGAGTGTGGTGATACTCACCATCCTTTGGCGATTCCTCGGTGGTTGTGTTCCTAATAAACTGTAAAAGGAAAGCTGACTGCAGGAAGGTTGGTGGCTAGGTTAATATACACTGTAGTGGAGTCATTTAAAATAACCCAAGCAAAGAAAGGAGATTTATATAAAAGTACATTTCCATTACTTGTGCCTCTGGCACAGTAATGTCTCATCTAGCATAGCAAAAAGCTAACAACATTATTCTTGTTTCTCTTTGTAACATCCATAGCCTTTAGTACTGCTATCCTTTGTTAATTTTCCAAAGACTAGTTGTTAATTAAGAGACATATTTGACTCAAAGGCAAGTCTTGACTGAAAAGAGCTCAGAGAACATGGCAGGAATCTTGTGTTTTGGGGTTTTTACATTATTTTTGAAACAACATCTAATTTTGAGCATGTCAAGATCCAGTTAAAATTTTGATGAGTGGGATCCAAGCTCCCATTGATGTCTTCCTGGCAATGGCATTTGGTCTCTCTTAGTTGGAACAGTAGGACAGGTCTAATTTTTAGATGGGTGAAAGAAGTCCACTTTAAAGCAAGGAAAGCAGACTACAAGTACAGTTAGGTTTTGGTTTCCTTCCTACCCTTTTCCCCCCCAGAAGACTCAAGATCAGTCATTGAACACCACAGGTATGGCAGCACATTTAAACCCACTTTCTTTTACATTTTTTGTAAGGGCTTAGCACCTGGTGAGCATGAAAGTAGAGTTACTACTTAGCAAAGTCTGGCTACTTCCTTTGGTACTGAAATAGAAGCAGATTTCTTCTAAAAATCAATCCCAAAGGGCCAAGACTAAAGTGTTTTGTATTCCCATTACTTTGAATGGAAATTTCTCCTTACTAAGGAGTTTGGCATTGGGATTGCATAGAGAGCCAGGCACTCCTTTTATGTAGGTCCATTAATTTCGATTCTGCTAAATGTGTACTCCTAATTGCAATAAGTCAATGTACCTAAAAGGATCAGAGGAAGGAACTGATCCAGAAGGGGGAAAACTTGTTACTGTGTGCTTTGAAGCTGTGAGATTGAGTGACCACATCTTGGCTGTGACTTTCAGACGAGTAAAGTGAATGTATGGCTTTTAAGAGATACATGGTATAATTAATGATTAATCAGGGCCCTTTGTTTTGCACAACTTTCAATTCTGCAGTCAAGGCTTGTGTGTATAATGGATGGTTTTTATTTTCTTTCTTCTACAACTTACCTTTGCTGACTGCACCTCTTTGCTCCTGATGTCTGTAAGCTCTAATAAATTGAGGAGTTTAGGCAGACAGTTCCTTAGGCAAGAGCTCTCCCTTGGCTGGTGATGCTGGTGAGACCTGCCTAGACTATAAAAGGCTCAGAAAAAGGGACAAGCTTTTGGCTGGAAGGCATAAGGGAAGTGGAACAACTTTTACATCCCTCCTTCATCTCTTTTCTTGGATATTTAATTGGCATTGGAAACAGAGCAGGTCATTGGATTAATAAACCAGAAAAAAGTACTGTTTGAGTCAGAAATACCCTTAGGAATTCTCCTGTTGGTAGTGCTTGTACTGATGTTATGAATTCCAAGACATTTAGTGGTTTTTAGAAATATCTTAGCTGTTGTCAGGTGGTGTGATAAAGCAAAAATCTGAGCTCTCATCCTAGAAAAGATGCTTGCCCACATATTTGGGGAGAACAGCCTGAAGATGTGAAGCTCTGGATTTGAGTGCACAATGAAAGCTCACCAAGCAAATACAAAGACCCCCACAGCTTTCATTCCTGTGGTGTTACTGTCTTGTATAAATATCCAGAAAGTACTGGCTTATAATTTTGTGTTTATTAAGAAAATATATCTTTCACCAGCTCTTGCTTCCTTGCTCTAAAAGCCTGCCTGACTCATACTTAATGCCATAATACTGCAGGTCAGATAAGAGATCCTATATAACACAGTCCATTGTTGTTTCCCAGGCAGTATCTGCATCAAGCCAACAGCTTCCAGTTGACTGGAGAACATGGCTTTTTTTCCTGTGTTTACCTAGAAACTCATCCCTTAAAAACATGGTCAACAGCTGCTTCTCTCCTCTGTTTATTGTTTCTCCCCCTTCCCATTTTTTAGTGTTGTCTCCTGGCAAAAGCCTGTGACTTGAAAGGGAAAGGGTCAGAGAGATGAGAATGGCTGGACTCCATATCCTCATAGAATACCAGCTCTGTGGTCATGGGAGGAAGGATCATGACTCTCCCTTCATCTTTCTCCCCTGTGCCAGGGCCTCTGACCCCTCACAGGGAAGGATTACTTCCTTTTCAGCTAAACCTGTCCTCCTTCAATTGAAAGCCATTACACCTTGTTCCATGGCTATTTGCCCTTTTCCAAAATCCCTCTCCAGCTCTCTGAGTCCCTTCAGACACTGGAAGGGTCTTGAAGGTTTCCCCAGGGCATTCTCTTCTCCAGGCTGAAAGAACTCTGGCTGTTTTCACAGCTGAGGTGCTCCAGCCCCATGAGCATCTTTGTGGCCTCCTCTGTCCTGACTCCAACAGATCCCTGTCCTCCTGTGTTTAAGAATAACCATTTGTAGGCAGGACAGATAATTTAATTTCTATCCTATTACCACATGTTACTTTTAATATGCCATCCAAAAAATCAGATTACAAACCAAACAGAGTAGAGGGAATGGCAGTGGCAAAAATTAAAACCTGGTGGTTGAGTCTGTCACGACATTCCTGCCCTTTTCTCCTGCTGCACAGGGGAGGGAAAACACTTCTTGTCCGTGGGGAATGAGGTGAGAAAGAATGGGCTTCAATTGTAGCAAGTGAGATTTACTTTTGTGACAAAAACTTTCTAGGATGAAATATACCGTTAGATTGCTTATGGGGGTTGTGGCAATTCCATCCTTGCAGGTCCTTAAGAATATGTTAGAAAAACATCTGTCAGGAATGATAGCTGTAGAGCTGCTCCTGCTGTGGGGTATGCAGGTGGACTAGATAACCTCTGGAGATCCCTTTCAGCCCTGTTTTCTATGAGCTCTAATCCAGGACTTCTCATTACTCATCCCTTGAAGCCCCAAAGGTGACAGGACTATCACACTTCATTTTTACACTTACACAATCTTTTTTACTGGATGGTTTTTGCTCATTCAGTGGTCTGGCTTCAGTTATATTTGTCATATGATTCCCTTACAGCCTCTATGTATTTTTTTTTTCAGTCCATGCCCTTTAGGCCTTTTGTCTCTGTTTTTTAAATGGATCTCACTAACTTTGAAACTTTCTGAAAGAAAAAGTTGCTGAAAACTTAGGATTTTTTTTTTCAATCTGAGATTTCAATTTAGACAAAATTAGTTAAAGCTGCTGTTAACTAGTAATGTCATGTTCAGTGCTGCAGCAGACACAGGAATAGGAACTGGTTTTGCTTTGTTGAAGTGAGATAAATGTGAACAGGAGCAGATGAATGAGGTGGGGAGCTGCCCAGGACAGAGGCTATTCTGCTTGTTTGTCCAGGGCTTGGTACAGCGTGGCCCTGAGCTGTGAGTGAAGAGCTGCTCTAATAACCTTATTTATGATGGGAAGCACTCGAGGGACCAAGTACATGTGTACAGTGTGCACGAGGTGCTGCTGAAAGGTACAAAAGAACTAAGGTTTGTGCTTTGAAGTGATGGTGTGGTGATTCAGGGGTGATTTAAAAACACAGTAAATTAAAAGATAACCAAACCAGTGTGATCCTCTAAGTGCTGGGTTTTTATTCAGGAGTCATAGTGGCAGTAAATACCCTGCATAGCCCTCTCTCTCTGGCACAGCTGGGCATTTCACAAGCTGGTGTGAAATAATAGGTTCCCATTATATTTGCCCTTTTTCATCTCTTCCTGACTTGGAATTAAATTTATTCTGTTATTGGTGTGTGTTGATTTTTAAGTGGTTTCCTTGCAGGTTTGTTTTAGGGCTTCCCTGACTCTCAAATTTGGATTGGTAAAGTGAAGATTTCACAGTAAAAACAAAGGTGTCAGGCTCGAGGTAAACAAACATCCTACTTTATTTCATTGTAGTTTTCCAGTTCAGCTCCAGGGTGCCTTGGTCTGTGAAACAGCTGTGCTGATTCTGCCTGTGGCTGGGTGCAATTGCTCCAGCCAGAGCTGGGCAGAGGAAGGTGCTTGGAGCAGTCCCTGCTGTGGTGAGTGCCCCACTCCCTGCTCTGGGTTTGGGGAGAAGCTCCAAACAGCTCCAGACATTCTCAGGACATCGTGCTCCTTTCCACAGCTGCCCACATCTTCCTTGGCCCTTTTGTTGGCCTTCTTCATTTCCTCCCTGGCTTAAACTGACAGCCAGAAGATGAGAAATCCCTGGGGGTGTTCTGCATGGGGCAGTGATTCACTTGGGCGTTTTACATTGCCCTGAATATCTGATGTCCTTACAAGGCTGTGAATTTGCAG